GGTGTGCTAGGCGTGCCGAACTGATGTTGCGGGCGAGCTTCATTGCCAAAGAGACTGCCACTCCTCTTGACCAAGGGTGTGTCAAGGTTGACAGTGCGGTCTGCTGCGGCAGGGGGGAAAGACTGGCGCTTGGATGGCGTGTCGGGCATGACATAGATGCCTCCTGCTGCTGGCTCATCCGCATTGCGGTTCTTCTTGGACAGAAGGCCGGTCGAGAAGGCGACAGGTGCCGGTGGCGCAATCTTGAAGGGTGTGTCGAATGAGTCTTGCGTCGACTGCTCGCCATCTGGGGCATGTGGGCGCCCGATACCGATGGGAAGTGAGCGAGAGAAGTGTGGGTTGTTGGGCATCGGAGGCGGGGGGAATGCAGGGCCGCCCCACTGAACGGCTGGAGCCCGGGGAGGAGCCATTGGTGTGCCGCTCAGGCTGGATGAAGCAGAAGATGGAGTATGCGCGTGTGAGAGCGGGTGCGGCTGTGCTGCACCGGCTCCGCGGGGGAATGGCGTTGGCAAGCCCATGCGCCCGGCGTCAAAGGTAGACTTGCGGAAAGGCGTCTGGACGGGTGGTGTTTGGGTGGCTGAGTTGACGGTGCTGTCGAGGGACATGCGGTTGCGCGTCTTGGAGGCAGCCGGCCCAGGCATTGCGAACTCGCCATCGTTGCTCGGCTTCCGCGGGGTGTTGGATCGCTGTGATAGGGTCGACCTGCGCAGTGACGTTGTGCGGCGGACTGGTGATGTCGCACCCGAAATAGGTGAGCTGTTGAAGGAGAAGCCATTCGTCATGTCATTGTACAAGCGCGAGCTCTCATCGGCAGAGATGCGCGGTGCGGGGGACGGGTCGAATATGCTCTCGAAGTCGTTTCCGAGGCTCGACACGCCGTGCAGGCTCCGGCGCTTTGCCATGGGACTGGATCCGGGCGAACCGCTGAGGTTCATCAGTCCGTCATTACGCTTGAGCGGGCTCGACTTTGCTGGTGGCGCGGGCGACAGCTCGGGGCGGCGCGCAAACTCGAACTTGATGGGCTTGTCGTCGACTTCTAGTCGCTTGTCCATGTCCATGGTGTCCGGAGACTCTGCGCTTGGGCGTCGCGCGGGGATGTTTTCTTGGCCGGGCGAGTGTCGCGTAATGAAGGGCGTCGCGTTGCCCACGTCGGAGGTCTCGGCCAAGGCGCGTCGCCGGGGACTCTTGGAGTTGCTGTTGCGCGTGCGCGGCGATGACCGGAAAGGGCCTGAGCGTCGCAAGGAGAACTTCTTCTTGGCCGGTGCAGCTTGCGCTAGTGGTGACTCAGGGAAGTTGGCGATGGGGCTGGTGACCTTGTTCGCTTTGGGAGAGAATGCGCGCGCAATGGCGAGGGGCGAGATGGGAGAGCGGGGCGTGTCGGAGTTGCGGAGTTGGAAGCGCGACTGTTTGGAGGGTGAGCGCGACAGAGAGCGGCGGAGCTCCTGGAGGTGGGAGAAGTGGGTGCTGTCGAGTCGATAGCTGTGGGGTCCGGTTGGTGAGGGAAAGTGCATGGTGCCACATTCGCGACTGGGCGAATATCCGTAATCCATGGCTCGCGTAGTGGGAGCCGTCTGGAGTGAGTCGGGATGTTTTGGGATGAGACGTGTTGACGTGATTTAGGCAGGCGCAGAGGGCATGGAGATGAGTGCAGTCTTCAGTCGATAGCGATGGCGCGGTAGTCCTGCTGGCGCGTGGTGGATGCGGACCGTGGTATGAATGCGTGGAATGTCGTCGGCAGGCGCGCGATGGCGTAGTGCTCGATGCTGGCCGGGTTCCGTGATTCCACCTTCAACAAGCAACGGCCGAAGTCCGGTGGTGCTCCATACAAGGCCTGGTGATGGAGGGTCCTGGTGGGGAAAGGATGGCTGGAGGTGGAGAGAGCGTGTTGATGTTGACGGCGTGTCGGAGGGTGATTTGCTGTGTCGTGTACTGGGGAAGCGAGGGCGCAGGCGTCGCGTGTTTACCTCCGCACGTTAGGCAAGTATAGTCGCAACACACGGCAGGCGCGTCACAACGCGATGATGCAATGGCGAGGGGAGAGTGCAAGCGATCGAGCGATGGAGAGACCCTTCTTGCGCTCGATAGCGATCGGCTGGGAATGCAGTGGTATATGAGAAGAGACGCGTTCTCTCATGTGCAGGGTGTCTTTTCGCCGGGCGTGTGGCAGGAAAGTTGGGGCGTTGGGGCCCGTGCGTCCCAACCCGCCTCTTACTTCGTGACGCCCTGCAGCGAAGCCCGTTAGCCCTGCCTGCCAATCGAATCCACGTCTGCAGCACAAAGTGAAGCAGTCATAGAGGCGACCCGCGTAGGCTCTGCAAATTTAGACACGTAAAGCTCCACCGCTGCCAGCTCTCTGCACGTCTGTTGCACTGCGAGGCGCTGCTGCGGAGCTCTTGCCACGTTCCGGTTTGCGTGTTTACATGCCGTGTTTGTTGATCAACAAGCAGAATCAAAACAACACCAAATCCTCGCCACCACCGCATCTTCCCCAACCACAGTATCGGCACCAGGGCGCTCGAACCACGCGTCGACCTATCCCCCCTTCTATGCCCAAATTAGCAAATCTTATCGTCTTCATGCCATCGGGTGGCCGAGTCGCGCGGAATAGGGGCTCCAGCTTTGCGCCCGCCTGCCACCAGTTCGGCGGCCCGCGTCACAATCTTAGCCCTCCCCATTATGATTGCCTCTGCAGCTCGCCTGCAGCCTCCCTATCGATTGCACGCATCTTCGCCTATTCAGCTATCGATAGGCTTTGCGAGTCGTAGGAAACATCTGCTTGTCCATATTGCTTTGCCTGCAGTTTCAGCTGACTGCCTGAGCAAAGTTTATGGGTGTCGTCATCAGGACCCTTCCAACTGATTCTGAGTATTGCCCAAGACGCGTCTTCGCGTTGTTTGCGTCAACAGCGCCGTACAACCGGACTCCCCTCCCTGGCTCGACTTTGTCCGATCGCACAGCTTGCTGCGATCGAGGGTTTTGCTCATGATGTTTGGCCTGCACCTAGCCATCCGTCCATCCCCATGGCGTCGGGATCGAGGAATTTGGTTACACATGACGTAGTCTTGTGATCTCCCCCCAGCTTTCGATGTGAGAGCCATCCCGTGAACGCTGAGCGGATGAGCTATCGATATGATACGCGCTAAAACCTCACAAGGGCTGTTGATAAGTGGTTTTAGGAGGCGGACCGTGTGCCGCTCGATAGTCTCTTCGAGAGAAGCGTGCTCACGAGGCCTTCTTCGAGGCCACGCTTCGTGATGGTTGCAACTACTTCACCACTAATCTCCGGGAAGGTGCGGTAACGGATCGTACCTGCTTCATCGATCAGACGTAAAAGCACGTGGGCATCGTCCGTCACGCGGCAAGATCATCGCGTCATCGTGAAAAACAACTTCCCAATACCGCGAATTCGCAAATCTGCCTCATGTGGCCGCATCTGCGACCTCATTGTTATTCCACTAGAAAGATCCCCGCTAGCCTACCGTTCAACATACAGTACTGCAGGAACGCGCTCTGGATGCCATGTTTTCCTGTTTCATCATCGCCGTACCTGCCTTAGCCTCTGGCACGCTTCCCCCTTCTGCGCTCAGATAGTCATCTACACAGTCATCTATCATTACTACGTTCCGACATCGGAATCACCCCATGCCCTCAATCTAGTAGGAAGTTCACAGAGTGGTCTGGGGAATGAACCTGAACACGCCTGGATACAAGATTTGCTGCAGCCTGCATCTTGACCAGTTCCGCAAGACGCGACATTGCATCGACAGAGTTTGGCTCGGTATTCAAAGGAGAAACGCGCTATGGGCATACAGCGACATGTCTTGCAGCCAGCCTTAGCCGCACCTGCAGCGGGCATCAGCCTTATGATACCCCAAGTTTGATGTTTCAACGCGTGTTTCAGATTCGCTACTTTGTGGCTCTGATTATTGTCAAGGCCATGTGGCTTGTCGCCCTGTTCAGTCACTGTGGTAACATCTGCTGGACTGTCGCCCTGTCTATGATTCCCATGGTAACTATTTCTAGTCGTCTCACTAGACTTGATGATATTGCGGGGAGATGAGTTGGCTTTTCAACAGGAGGTTCTCGGGGCCAGCATCACGACCGTGGATGGACGGCCACAAGGTAAGAATTTACGTCAAAAATTCAGCAATCAAGGTTTCACCCAGGAGTCTGTCTAAGAAAACTCACATTGCTTGCGCGTCAGAAAGCGGAGAAGAGAGTATCGGTTGGACTTGGGCCGAATAGTAGAAGCCCAACATCGACAGCTGTCAAGAGTGGCGAACACAGGGTCCTCCCGTGCCAGCATTTTGGGATTCACAGGGTCTGGAGATGATCTGTTCCCACTGTTCATCCCGTCGCTAAGGTGACGCAAGATGTGCTGCCGTAGATGCCCAATGCTGCGCGTCTTCGTCGTATTGCGCATATTGCGGCCACTAGAAGATCCTTGGGGGCTATATTCGGGCATGGACCGTGTGAATTGTCCCCTTATCGTGGAATCTTCGGGTAGAGTCTGGATGACGACGAAGCTCTGCTCGGACATCTTCCAGTAAGTCAGATAAGAAGTACTGTGGTGTTGGTAAAGCCCGACACCGTGTGTTGTAATTTGTAACACAGTTTGACCCAAGGTTGCATTACAGATACTACCACGAACTTTGTTGAAAATCTGGAATAGTTGACAACTGCTATGGCTGTCTCGTGTTTCAGATCGAAATGACGAAAACCTGTCTAGCATTTGTCGCATGCGGGGTGAAAGGTTAAATTGATACACGTGCGATGCCTGCAACGCTGTAGGCACCATGTCTACAGTAGCATATATCTTCCAACGCGTTCATGATCACAGAAGAGTGCAGCGGTGATGTGAGGTATGAGTCTCCATAGCCGGATGGAAAAACTTTGTTCCCGTGGGTTGCCAGTCAATGGCGGGGTGAGTCAAATCAAAAAGTTGGCGGGGCATATATCTCGTCGCGCAGCCCACACGAGCAACACCGAACATCGCAACAATGGCGGACGAACAACCTGCACAACAGCCACCGGCTGCCGAGACCAAGGACTTGCACACCGACCCAGTCACCGGCGAGAAAATCTCCAAGAGTGAACTGAAGCGCCGCCAGAAGCAGCGCGAGAAGGACGAGAAGAAGAAGGAGAAGGAGGCGTCGCTACCTGCGCGGCCCAAGAAGGAGAAGAAGGACGATGTCGAGGAATTGAACCCAAACGTGCGCATCGAACTTGCCTCTTTCGACTGATCTGGTTACTCACCAACTGCAGCAATATTTCGAGATCCGGTCTAACAAGATCAACGCTCTCCGCGCCTCCAAGCAACCCAACCCGTACCCGCACAAGTTCCACACCAACTACAAGCTCGCCGACTATGTTCGCGACTACTCGCACCTCAAGAAGGGAGAGACTGAGCCCGATAAGGAGATTCGCATCGGTCTCCGCGTCATGACACAGCGCTCTGCCTCCAACGCGCTGCACTTCTACGTTTGTACGTATACTGGATACACCGATATTCATATAGCTGATAATGTCTAGGCAAGGCTGAGGGTGTCAACATCCAGGTCATGTGTCAATTGCAGGAAGCTAAGGCCGACGTACCCTTCGAGAAGCAGCATGAGAACATCCAGCGAGGAGACATCATCGGTGTCATCGGATACCCAGGTCGCACCAGCCCCAAGAAGGGTGGTGAGGGTGAGCTGAGCATCTTCGCGCGCGAGGTGATCCTTCTCACCCCCTGCTTGAGGATGTTGCCGACGGAGCACTTGTGAGCTCACCTCAGAACTTCAGCAATGGTGATACTAATACTACACAGTGGCTACAAGGACCAGGAGCAACGCCACCGCAACCGATTCCTCGATCTCATCATGAACGACTCAACACGCAACACCTTCATCACTCGGAGCAGGATTATCAAGGCTGTTCGCAAGTACCTCGACGAACGGGACTTTCTGGAAGTTCAGACGCCTATGATGAACAAGATTGCTGGTGGTGCGACTGCGCGACCATTCAAGACATACCACAACGAACTCGACATGGAGCTTTACATGCGTATCGCGCCCGAGCTATACCTCAAGGAGCTTGTAGTTGGAGGTCTGGAGAGGGTATACGAGATCGGCCGTCAATTCCGTAACGAGGGTATCGATCTTACCCACAACCCCGAGTTCACCACCTGCGAATTCTACATGGCATACGCCGACTACAACGACGTCCTGAACATGACCGAGGAGCTCGTCAGCGAGCTGGTCAAGGAGGTCACAGGCGGATACGAGACCGTCTACCACACTCAGAGCGGCGAGGTCTACAACGTCAACTGGGCAAGGCCATGGAGGCGAGTCGAGATGATCCCGGCATTGGAGGAGGCCACTGGCGAGAAGTTCCCACCAGCGGATCAACTACACACTGCCGAGACCAACGAGTTCCTCAAGAATGTACTCAAGAAGGTCAAGGTCGACTGCTCAGAACCTCGCACCAACTCAAGAATGATTGACAAGTTGGTTGGTGAGTTCATCGAGGAGACTGCTATCAACCCTACATTCATTATCGGTCACCCCGAGGTCATGTCGCCACTTGCTAAATACCACCGCGATATCCCTGGTCTCTGCGAACGTTTCGAGGCCTTTGTATGCAAGAAGGAGATCTGCAACGCTTATACTGAGCTTAACGACCCCTTCGATCAGCGTCTGCGATTCGTGAGTTCCAGATACTTGCATTGAGGAGACGCATATTGACATGTACATAGGAAGAGCAAGCGAACCAGAAGGCGGCTGGTGACGACGAAGCACAGCTCATTGACGAGACCTTCTGTCAGTCGCTCGAGTACGGTCTGCCACCCACCGGTGGTTGGGGTATGGGCATCGACCGTCTAGTCATGTTCTTGACCGACCACTACTCCATCAAGGAGGTGCTCACCTTCCCCTTCATGAAGGACATTATCGAGGTCAAGACGCCCGCAGCGGAGGTCGTCGATGTAACGCCCAAGCCCACTGAGGGCATTCGTAAGTCCATCTTAGTCCGATGTAATTGAAGCTTGCTAATGCAATTCAGCACACAAATAGTTTCAACGTAGCATTACTGGCGTATGGGGTGGTTTGGCAAACATAGGAATGGATACGGATCATGAGCCATGTTTCACGAATGTGTCAGATCTAGACGACTGAATATGAAAACATGAATGACTCTGGGACGGACGAAGAAACTCGAATTCCGAGTTGACAGTGTTCTCGCGATGCACCCCAGAGATATATACCAAGTCACTTTCTGCGAACGCTTTGCTCGGAATACAGAGAATACCTTTGGGTGATTTGCGACGTGAAGGACGCCTCCAAGAGGAGAAAGAGCCTTTTCGTATATAATAGGCACTCTCTTGGACAAGTGCAGGCATGGTCGCGTGTTTTATTCGTGATGAGAGACCGGGGCCGATTACTGAGTATAACAAGACAGTGTGATCGCGTGCTGTATGTGGACAATGGGTTTCAGTTTTCGGCTCCCCGCCCGCGGGCCCTGCCGCAACGTTTAATGCCCGAACCGTGAACCGCGACACCATTGCCGCAACATTATCGGCGTACGTGAACTTGTGCCGAGCGGGAGGCCTATGAATAGATTGGCAGCTTATATATGATACTCGAATCGAATACTGATGCATCTTCATCTCAACCGTCCACCTTCCGTCAACGCGTTGCTACATCTCCGGATACAGATTGCGTCGTACTAAGAAGTTGGATATACACTACATCGAGAGGAAGACTATATCAAATATGGCGGCACCAGGGGGCAAGTTCTTCATCCAGGAGAAGCTGAAGACGCCGGCGAAGCACCACGAGTCTTATGAGCAGCTGTGGGAGACGAAGTGGAAGAAGCCTGTATGTTTATCACCGGCCACTCAGACTACATACATGAAGATCTCACAACTGATTCTCCATAGGCAGAAATGGGCGTCTACCCCTTCATGTTCGGCACAGCCTCCGACTTCGAGCCGATAGTAAAAGAGATGGTATCCAAAGACATGAAAGAGCCCTACAACTGGGACGAATACGCCAAAATCTACTTCCCACAGGCCGAAAAGCTCAAGTCCATAGCCGCAGAAGCCGAGAAGAATGGCGAAAAAGAGAAAGCATCAGAGTACTACCTACGCTCCAGCGCCGTGTACCGCATCAGCCGCTTCCCAGCACCACGCAGCGAAGTCCAACGTGAAGCCTGGAGACTAGGCAAGGAAGTATGCATCAAAGGCCTGGGAATGCGGGAACACCCTGTCCACGAAGTCATGATCCCACACAAACACCGCAACCAAGACGAAGGCGAACACATACCCGTGTACCACCTCGTCCCTGAAAGCGCATCGAAAGAAAACCCCGTACCCACCCTCATCATCTTCACCGGACTAGACGGGTACCGCACCGAACTAGCGGTATGGATGGAAGGCTGGCGCCGTGTCGGCGTCGCAACCATCGTCCTCGAGATACCAGGTACAGGCGATTGTCCAGCCACGGCGTCCGACCCAACGTCTCCAGACCGTCTGTACAGCTCGCTCTTCGACTGGGTAGCCACGCAACCGCGTCTCGACGCAAAGAAAATCGCTATCTGGGCCTTCAGCACAGGCGGCTACTACGCCATGCGCGTCGCGCATACACACGCTTCTAAGCTTGCGGGCGTCGTGGCTCTCGGCGGCGGCTGCCACCACATGTTCGCTCCCGAATGGCTGGACAATGTAAATCACCTCGAGTACCCCTTCGACCTCGCCAACACTTTAGCCTACAAATGGGGCTACGGCAACGACGTCGAGACCTTCAAAAAGGAGGCCATGAGCAAGTTCTCGTTGCTGAACGATGGCACGCTGGATAAGCAGGAGTGTGCGAGGTTGCTGCTGGTGAATGGGACTGACGATGAGATTTTCCCGATCGATGATTATTATCTTGCGTTGATGCATGGGGCGCCGAAGGAAGCGCGGTTTGTGGAGGGGTTCAAGCATATGGGCGAGCCGGAGAGCTTTTTTGTTATTATCAAGTGGCTGTATAAGTTGTTTAGCTTACAGGCGGAGGTGGGGACGATTATGGCTACGTTGCCATTTAAGCCGAAGTACTAAGTGGAGGGGTGGATAGCGAAAGTCGTTTAATGAGGGATACGAAACCTGGAGAATGCAGATGATGTCTTCTTTTCATTCCATGAACATCCTGTTACACTCTTTTGGTAGACAAGCGCTCCAAGTTCCCGGTGATTCCTTGTCCCTCATCGTCCACCGAGAGACTCCCGAGGTCACCACATACACGAAATGCTTTTTGCGAGACCACCCAAGAGATACAAAATTCGAACACAAATGCCACCAAGTAAATACCCAAGCAACAGCGAGCGCGCAGAATCATGTCGTAGTCGTCGTCGTTTTTAGGAAAGAACACACATTTGTAGATTCGTATAGCCTTTTGGTGACAACCCCAAAGCAGGTAGGTGAATGAGGAAGGAGGATGTACCTAGGTATGCCCAGAGAAAAGGACCTCTTTTATACCCCAGCTCGCATATCTCCTTCCGCACTCATGCTACATGCTATGTGAATTTTCGGTTACCGCCTCTTCTTACTCAATCTCCATGCCCTGTTTCTGAGCTTCATTGATCTTGAGCGCCAGAGCGGATAGGGACGGCACATCGGTTCTGATTTCAGAATTTTCGAAGCCGAATGCTCACAGAGAAACATCTTCTCGTATCTGTTGATCTTTTGAAAGGCAGACCATTGCTCATGCTGCGCAATTGTGTTCTTTTCGATACCGAAAGCTCAAAGAAAGACATGTCAAAGTAGGCTTCGATTTTGAGAGAGAAACAGACATATTGAGGTCTTCAATTGTTTTTGGAAAGGGTAAGAGCAGAAGGCTGGAATGTAGACACGAAGTCGAAAGACGAAGACCTGGGTACTCTTCATAGTGATGTATGCACTTTAAGCGCTTCCCAGACATGCGTGCTTTCTCGGCAACATTGACAAGAAGAGGCAGGCGGATACTGCGTAGGTAGCGTCGCGCTTTCTCAGGGCGGGAAATAACATGTCTTCTGTGCAGGGCGGCTTTGAGTTATGCCAGCGTAGTGTCCAGATGCAGACATGCGCCATCGATCTGGTATTTTTGGCGCAACTGAAGCAGGCAAGGCTGACCATGGTCTCGCCTCCTGTGCTTTTTGGAAACAGCGGAAGAGACATGGGTTATGCTCTCGTGATTTTTTTATGGAAAAAGAGTAACGTGTGACAGAGGAGACATGAAGCAGCGCCTTGGGCGAGACCAATTTATACCTTCCGCCCATGCGCGAGACAACACGTGCATGCAATCCCTTCTTTCGGTGTCACTGGTTTAAGCCATCGGATGGCTCCTTGCAACGGTTTACAGCATCAGTCAAAAGTACAACAATACCTATTATTATGTACACTTTTTTTGTACACGTAACGCCAATAATGCATCACTCCCATCTTTCCCGTCACCTTCGAAACCGTCCATCCATCGGTCGTGACCACTTCAAAACGTCGAACCCCATCAGCTATGTATTTGTTCCGATATCCCAACACTCTCACCCCTTGATATCACCCTTCAACCCACCATCAACACCACCCTTGCCGAATCTGTATCCGAAACTGACGGCAACAGCGCAGAACAGTCCGAAGCAGAGCAGCGTAGGTCCCCAGCGATCGTGGTACGTAACCGCTCTCCTTTCCTTGATCTTGTTCACTCTCCACAGGTACAAGCCTGCACTGTAGCAGAGCGCGATACAGGCGATGATGGTAAATGCCCACGCAGCCGCAAAGGCGAGCGGGTCACCAAAGTTGAGCAATGTAGCCGCAATGGAACCGATGAGGATGGAGAATTCGAGCCAGGAGAGAAAAGTGCGCTCGGTAGCTAGTTGGACTTTGGGTTCGACACGGACGGGGACGTGAATGCCTGTAATCATGTTAGTACGTGTTCGTGGGGTGAGATGATTGGAGTAACTTACGCTTGCCCTTTGGTGCCTTGAACCTCTTTACTTCACCCTTTTGCTTCCATGAGGGTACACCAAGGGAGAAGCCTCCCTCACCAACGTCGGTAGGAGTTGGCTTAGGGATAACGGTGGCGACTGTCGAAAGCAATGTTGAGCCCACGTTGGTCGCAGAACGTTCTACCCATTTCCGCGCATAGCGGAGACCTCCCTGTTTCTTGGCTGCCTCGTACTCCTCATCTTCGTCGTCGCTGTCAGAGTCGTAGATGGGGTAATCTTCGTCGCGAGTGCGTCCTGCGGCGACACGCTCTTCTACGTCCAGCGCATTGGGATCGTTGCCGTTCGTAAGAGTGCCGTAGTCGCGGGTTCTTTCCATCTCGTTCTGCTCCATGACATCCCTTGCCTCGCGCAGCCGCCTTAGTCGGTCATCGTCCTCATTACCGTTCGCAGCAGGAAGACCCATGACGGCATCTTCGTCTTCGCTGTCATCGTCATCGAGGTTACCGCTGGTGCTGATGTCGTTGCTCGCTCCAGGGCGCTCAATACCAAACTTGTGACTAACAGGCTTGCGAATGTCGACATCCATCTGCGGGTACCAGTATGGGATCAAGTTGATGCGCTTGGGGTTCAGCGTAGCTGTGCCGTGAATGTACTTGGAGAACTTGGGCACAGCTTCGACAAGATGGGAAGACGTGAGGTCGCGAATCCACTGCGGTGGCTCTCCTCCAGCTTGTGTCTGAAGCTTGACCTCGAGGACAGCATAAGGGAAGAGCTCCTTGTCCTCCTTTGGCAACTGCTTGAACGGCCAGTCTACACCAATGTCCATGCGACGCCAGTTATCGCCCGCACGCCTCTTGCCGTCCAGGTTGTCTTCGCGAGTCATGGTAAGCTCCGTGTCGAGGGAGATACGAACGCGAGCATCGCCGGGAAGCTGGAAGGCGGTACGGTGGTAGAAGGAGCGTGTAACGGGTTCGAGCTTGCGGGTTAGCACACGGTATTGGATCTCTCGGGCCAGCTGCTCATCGGAAGCGATGTCCTTCTCAGGCCTCTTCTGCTCCCTGCGCTCCTTCTCGAAGATGTGCTCGGGCCTGAGCTCACCACGGAGGTATGCGTTGACGTTCTTCTCCTTAAGCTTGAAACGCGCCTTGACAGACTCTTCGCCAGTCCAGTCCTCGCGATGCGTCTTACGCTCAATGAAGATAGTGTCGCTAGACATGCC